AATTTAATATTAATAAAAAACAAAATTTTGACAGGTCAGAAAAATTGAATTTTTAACGACTTCAATAAGAAACAAATACATTAATTATTCCAAGTTTTGTTATAGTCAATATTGTATATACAAAATTATTGAAAAATATATTATATCACATTATATTAAATTTCGACCAAGAAGGAAATATTTATTTAGTTTTATATTTTTTATAAATTTCCATAAATTTTGACAGAAATTTACTAACAAAAAACAAAACACTAAAATGACAAATGTCAATATTTATGGAAACTTCGAGAAAAAACGAATTATGATTTCTGAAAAAAAATTGACAATTCTAAAAATATATGATTTTTACTAATTGAAAAAGGAACAGATATATTATAATATATCCAACAGTTATATCCAAATTAGACACAATGCTATATTCAAAATAATAGAAATATATATATTTATAGATTTAAATAAATTTGATAGTTGTAAACTAAAAAAGTGAAATGTCATATGGAAAGTATTAAATGAATAAATTTATAATTTATATTTATTTGGTTTGCTTAACATATTAGTTCGGATACTAACACGTCAAATTTTGACAGGTCAAAAAAATTAATATTTTTAACGAATTCAAATAGGAACAAATACATTATTATTCCAACTTATATTACAAATCACATTTAAGATACAGAATAATAAATTTATCAAATTTAAATAAATTTGGGCGGTTGCGAATTTAAAACAAATGCCGAAAATGACGTTTGTTAATATTCCGGAAAATTTATGAATAAATGATTTATGATTAAGATTAATTTGCTTAAGTTGTTCATTCAGGTAAACATCACAAAATTAATATAAATCATGATTGAAAACTGAATATTATATCACATTATATTAAATTTCAAAGTGCTAAAAATCAAACATAGATTTGAACTCGAATTCCTCAGAACTTTATCCATGTTAGTTCCAGGGATAGTATGAATATGAATTTATAGTCGGAAATTTATATTATAAGTGTTTTGTAAGTAATCACAAATTTAAAAAAAATGCATTGAAATCGATGAGTGTCTAATCATAAATTTATGGAAAATTTTCAAAGAAAACATTAAAGGCTTATAGCAAGTTCCCAATAGTATGTGACCAATAGTATGCGAAACCATTTCTAAATAAAGCATCGAAGACATGTTAAAATGTTAGCTAAAGGTAAATAGGACGTGATACCAATAAGATATAACAAATTTATAAAATCACTTAGTTATTCATTATACATTTTGTAATATACTCATTATTCAAATTTAATTAATTCAGTTTATTTATTATTAAGTTAAAAAAAACACTCTAATCAATAGTATTGATGCATCATATTCAAATTTCAATCCGGATTTTATTTATTTTTGGATTGATATGAATTTTTTATAACAAAAGGTTTGAAATTTGGTTGTCAAACGGATTCAAATTTCAATCAGGTGGATTTTAATAAGGGCCGTTGCAACGCAAGGCTGGGTATGCTAGTATATATATATATATATATATATATATACATACATATCATATATATATATATATATATATATATATACTAGATGACCCGACAGACGTTGTCCTGTACCCACATCTACGTTTTTTCAATGTCCTATACTAATATTTATACCATTCCGTTAAAAGTAATTATTATTGGTTTTCGAATTACTATTTAAACCAATATGAGTGATGTTGAATGAAGAACTGTTTTAAATAAAATGATTATTCTCAATTCCCACAGTTAACACTTTAATTATCCATTTCACATATATTAAAAAATGTTCAATAAAATTGTATATTAAAAATTATACACTGCGCTTTATAGAACAAATTTATTTCCAATAGCTCAATTTATTTTATTGCATTTAAGGGTAATATAGTATTTTTAGTCATACATGTAGATGTGGATGTATAAATGAATGATTTTTTGTTTATTCACAACTAAAACATTGATTTGTCAAATTTATCACACAAAAATCATCATCTGCCTTTGTGATGTATTTATTGTCATAGCGCAGATACACGTGTTGAAAATTGAAATCTTTTAAAAAGTATAACAAATTCAGAAAAAATAACCTTGAAAATATTTAAAGCATAGTTTGACATTAAAAACAAGTGAAGACTTTCATTTGCCACACATTTCCATTCACTTATAAGCTAAGACAATATTAAAATATAATATATTTAGGATTATGTCTAAGAAAAATGTAATGACTACATTATTATTGTCGAAAAGCAGCTGGATGTCCCAAAATTATAATAATTTAAGATTTACAGTCAACATCTGACAGGTGATGCAGTCTGCGCATGCGTCTGTCAGTGATCGCACATAAAACTTAGCCTATAATTCACTTTGACAGATTATTATTTTTTAACTTTTAAATGCTGTCGTGTTTTGCCTTACTTTACTAAATCACGATACAAAATAATTTACTTATTCAAACAATTATTTAGAAGTTTTATTATGTAAAAAATTCATATGTTTGGCATTGGATACGAATTATTTACTCAAGTCAATGGAGCGTTTTAGGGTCTGAATATTTTTAATGTGCTCCAATTTGCATGAAATTTGGAATTAGGTTCATCTTACTTTCAAGTTTAAAAGTAATAATAATTTAGACTCCTTTGCCACTTCCCGGGGGAATGACATCCCTTTTTCAGTAGTGCAATTGTATCTCTTTCAAA